TTAATTTTAACAGGCTTTTACTTCTGCATGCCAGTTTATATGGGAAGGCTGGCTCAGGCATGGGGCCCTGGGCACTAACCTGGTCTCCTGGCCAGACCTAAAAGTAACTCAAACAGTCAATGCATCTTTAATTTTAAATGCTTGATGACTAATCTCTTGTTTTCTTTAATTAATGATCTACAGTTAATCATTGTGAATGGTAAATTGTCTATTTCAGCATCAATAGGAAGAGTTCCTATGGGAAAATGTTCCCCTATAGCTTTAATTTAAATATGCATTTTCACATCACACTTACCATATCCTTACCTTTATGCTATCGCATGATTACAGGTCCATTAACTAATCACATTTGACAACTTGTTTATTGAGGGGAGCAACTACTTTACATCTCTTGCCTGGGAAAGAAAATGCTCTAACAAACAATTATTCAGCAGCTGCAATCATGGAGCACTGAATTAATTGCTTTGAAGATCTCAGTCAAGAAGATCTTGATAAAAAATCAAAGAAAATGTTGTTTGACAGAATGCATGAATGAGAGTGCCAGGAGGGCCTCAGGCTTGGTAAGCTGCAGCCCTGCTCCAGGGAGCACTCCATGAGGACCTTGAAACCCTGCACTCAGAGGAGGAGGAGGAGGAGGCTGTAGAAAAACTCATTTGCTTGTTTGTTCTTTTATGTTTAGTTCATCAAAACCAGAACTTATACATATAATTTGATAATAGGATCAGGATTTGCTAAAATGGGCCAAAAAACCTGAGCGCAATCAGGTCTATAAAGGCTGACACATGGATATTTCAGATGTGTAACCTCTGTGGATGACTTCTCCTGCCATACAAATAATTAACCCAAAGGGTACTGTGAAGTTGAATGATTATAAAGCACTTTAGAACTTTCTCCCAATGGGAGTTGCTGTGATTGTACTGGAGTGGGATAAAAAGCAGAACAAGGCATGTGGGGATCTCAACTCTGGACCTGGCTGGGCAAAATTGTCTTGGCGCATCTTGATGCTGGGGAATGTCATTGACTCCTGACAAATGTCCAAGAGGGCATCAGGACAGTTTGTATCTTGAGTTACAAGATCAGTGCTTTGTTGGGACTAGAGCATTGTAGAAAATAGTGGGATTGCTGATAAAGCATGATGAAGGCACTGAAGACATGAACTGGAAAGGGCTTTCTGATCTCTCCTTTATCAGCGTGAGGAGGACCAGAGTGTCTCACCTGAGACAATCCCAAACTCTGCTCCATGGACGAGTCACAGCCTGCAACACACTGGCCAATCCCAGGCCAGGCTTCCTTCTTTTAACTGCTGTAACCTTGTGTGCTTTGCAAGTCAGCTGAGATGAAATATGTTTCTGGCAGATAATGCTAATTCCTACAGTGACACTGGAAAGGGAAGGAGAGCTTAAAGATTCAAAATTCTCTGTAACAAAGGGTATCAAAAGTGAAGTGCAAGGACTAAACAATATCTTCTCTGAATATTACGTCACTACAAAAAGCTGAAAAAGTTGCCCAGTAAGCTGAAAGGCAGTGATGTCAGGTGGCTTTTCAGAAAACATCCTGAAAGGGCTTTTTGGTCACATCCCATTAGTAACATAGTCAGCTTTTCAAAACTGCCTTGTTCTTACATTAAAATTTGCTAAGAGTTTGCTAGCATCATCTTTCTAGAAATTGGGAGAAATAGAATTCTTTTCATTTCCTGCATGCCCCAAGTTCAGAGGGTCTGCGAGGGTGGTGGTACCGAAGTCAGTCATGAACATGGCACTATTTTGCCAAACCCAACACCCCTCAGGACTAATGCCTCAAAAAGTGTGATGGAAACTTCTGCCACAATGGATCACATTTAAAAGTGAGTGGCAGAGAAACTGTGGCCCTGCCCTTGACTCTTGTTTAAAATCAGTGAGAGCCCAAATTGAATTTGTATATACCCTGATTCAAATAATTGTTTCTGCAGCAATCCCTTGGCTCTCTTTAATGCTTCAACATGAGACAGACAGAGCCTAACTAAATAATTTGCTCTATCTTTTCCTTTTCCCTTTTCTGTTTTTTTTTTTCTTCTTTATTTTGCAGATATGGTTGACAGAATTTGCCCTGCCAAAGGAAATGTAGAAAGAAGCAAGTAAACAAGTTGTTGCTGAAATTTGTATTAATCATTCTAGTAAGCTGTAGAGTAGCTGAAGACTCACGTGTTCTGGTTTATCCTTACAAAAAACGTAAATAGCGGGTTACATATTAATGCTTAGAAATCACTAACTTTACTTGCCAAGGAATTATACAATTATTTTAAATGAATGAACAGAAAAGCGTACATCAGGCTCAAGTGGCTATTGCATGAGCTGGGTTAAACCTGAGGTGTTCCCAAGACAGCAGACCTTTATCTTTCTTTAGGATAATGATCAAGCAAATGTTTAAGAATCTTCCTAATGAGGTCATGAGTAAAATGTGATATATTATTAGACACACAAATGAACTCTTATTAAAATAATAGAAAAATCCTGATATATAGAAGGCATGGTGTATTAAATCTAGTTTGACCTGAAGCCATGTGTTGAATACCATTATTAGGAACTGTCCTTAATAAAAGGCTTTCCATTTAGTTAGTAAAGTTTGAGATTCTACTCATCTTAAGCAAGGTTTTTTCCATGCTTGAAGCACTGGTCTGCCCCACATCAGGTGGCCCATGCTTGTGATAAAGCTACAGAATGAGAAGAGCATGCTCGTCCTCTACATCCAGTCCCTAGGTCTGGATTCAGAAGAAAGGCAAAGCTGCCACAGGCCCTCTATTTTCTTACAAGCCAAAGGTACAGGCTGAGAATCTGTCAACTCAGTGCTCTGGCAGCTGACACTGCAGCTGATCTATCCACATCATGGGAAGGTCAGGTAAATTGCTCTCAGGTTATTTCGAAAGCTCTCAACCCTTTTGTACAGATGTTGGACTGAGTAATGACCACTCGAAACCAAAGGAAGTAAAGCAGCTGCTGCCATCTGAAAAAAAAAATGCCGTGAGGACAAAGCAGCTCACTCGTGCTGGCCACAGAGTTACAACAATTTTTCCTGCTATTGAGAAATTTGTGAGATATTAAGCTCCCTATACAGCACTAAGATCTTCCCTTGCCTAAGTTACATCTTTATTTAGGCACACACCATTCTGGTCGCAGAGTGATGGAAATATTCTTATTTGGTTTTTGCTAATGCAGAATGAGTAGCTAAAACGGAGGCAATATTAATGAACATATTCTGGTCTTGTAAATCAAGAGTGCCCCTGAGCGAGTAGTGCGTGATCAGCTCTGGGCACCCAGCTCAAGAAAGATATCATCAAAATACACGTGGGATTTTGAAATAGACACTAATTAGAAAATGGAAAATATAATCCAAACAAAGATGGAAAAGAGTGGGACCATTTTCATCTAGGGTGATAAAACTTAATGATATTTGTATTTGGAACCACTTTTATAGTCAGAGACAGAAAAAGGAATGTGATGAACACTTGCTGACCCTTTCCTTCTTAGCAAAAGAAAACACACAAATTTTAAAGCTTGGAAAGAAAACTCTTGTGGCATATCATCAAGATGCAAGTGCTACAAGACAGCAGTGATGCCAAAATTTAAGTAAATTAAAGAATACAATTTTTTGCTTTTAACTGCCACTCTGAATTCATGTCCAGACAGAGACATAAAGTGAAACTTTGACAGACTAAAAGGCTTCCCACGTCTGCATATTAAAAAGCCTGTAATTACTAAGGGCTGGGAAGAGGCTGTGGATGACACGACTTTCTTCTGCAAGTATTCCTGTATCACTACCAAACACTGGACAAGAGCCAGAAAAAACCCCTTCAGGTGAAGCAACATATATTATAAATAATGTCTTTTTGTAGCTATTTTGCAAGAAGTTTATAGAAATGTGAAGAAATACTGTAACAGAATAAAAGACACTTCACTAGTTATTATAAATTTTCTCCCTTTGGGGAGGTACATAAAAAACATTTAGAAAGCTATCTTGATATAAAAGTCTTGAAAGATTGTTCTTTCCTCATAAAAAGCAATTTATTTTGATGTCTCACAAACTGGGTTTTTTTGTGACTATATAATACATATATGGAACAATTACAGTTTAACCATTTGCTAATAGTTATATGAAGAGATCATCAGATCTTATATTCCCATGATTCCTTAAAGCAAACTGCAGCAGCTTCAGCTGCAGCACAATTTTCATTAAATCGCTCAGCTGCACTGTCTTGCCTTGCAATTGCCAATCCCACTTTGTTTGTTTCATGGGCTCTTATTCCAAAATTAAGATGTCCAGCAATTCCTTTTGCATTTATTACAGTAATTTTATAACTGGGTCAAAAGAACACTTTACTTGAGCAGCTCAGTTAGCTCTAAATTAGCAGTGTCACACTGAGCTCTAGCTGGTGAGGTGGATAAGAGTTCCCCTTCAGCACAAGGCTGCCTGTGAAAGGAAAACAATTAATGGATGGGTTTATTAATTAATCAATGGATGTCAGTGGCTTATTTATGAAGCCACCTTACAAAGCAGAGAACAAGATGTAAATCTGCTTCATGGCATCTTTTCCTCCATGACTATGAGAGAAGTAAGATGAAACCTAAAACCAGGGTGTTTTGTTTTGGCACATGTGTAGAAAAAAGCATCTCATAACACTTCTGGCTTTACCTACTCACACAGGGTGCTGTCGTCCCTTGGACTCAGCGAACGGCAGGGAGCACTGATTTGACTGAAAGCCGCTTAAATGGCTTCTCCTCCCTTCCTCCAGGGCTGAGGCTGATACCGTTTGCTGTTGTCAGTAGGAGCCTACAGGGGTACATTCATGGCAGCCCAAGGGAAAAGGAGCTACCCCTGAGCCCTCTCATTTTACAGCAGCCATCACCCATGGCTTATACACTGGAGTAAAGCTTAATGTAGTTCCAGATTGAAAAAAATTACACAGTAAACCTTTTATTCTAGAAACGTTTTTAATTTTACTCGCATATTTTAACAGAAATACAATATGCTAGCAGCAAAATAAGAAGACTTCTAACATTTCGCAATACATTAGTGTCCAAATCTCCATTTTTCTATTAAGGCAGTTTGTATTAATTAGAAATCAACTCTGAATACTATGACAGTATTTCCAAATATGTACAAGCTACCATAAAATAACTATTAGTATTATTACCACGGGGAAAAAACCTCACAGTACTAGTAAAAATGTAAGCATTTAAAGGTAATGCCTTTAAAACCACAGAAAGTACCACCTACCATTCCAAAACCAAGTAAACAACTGAAGACATTAGGTAAATAGAAAAAGTTAATAAGTTAAGGCTTTGTTCAGTATTTCAGAAGTTCATGTTCAAGTTTGAAGTAGCAATTAATTTCAAGCTGTACTTCCTAAGAGAAGAGTTCAGGCTGCCTCCCCCACTTCAAGACTGCATCCGATCACTCGGTTCTGGTTTAAGCAGCATCCACCAAGCCCAGCAGACAAGCAGCAGGTACAGTTTTCAGAGCAGGCCTGACGCATTCCTCAGAGAAGTCTAATCCCATGCGTAGTTCAGCAGGTGCCACCAACGTCCTCCCTGTGCTACCCTGGATCACTGGAGCCATTCATCCTGGGAGAAGTGTTTCTCAATGGACTTCCCAGCCAGGCGACAGCATTGCACCTTGCCTACACAAATGTCAACACAGGGCAATGGGACGCAAGGGCCGGGAGAAGGCACAGGTTCTCCAAGCCTCATCCCAGCAGGGGCTGCCAAATGACTTTCGGGTTTTGATCCCTGATATTTTGAGTCATGCAATTAAAGCATCCTCACTGAACGCAGCTGCTAAATGGTGAAACAATACATTCTCCTCTGATCCTGGGAGCAGCAGTTCCTCCAGGGGCACTGACTTTATTGTACAGCTGAGCTCTGCGTTTCCTGGGAGCCTGCAGGTTTTACTGGTCAAACCAACAAGCTTCACAGAAGATGCAAAGGCACTGATAACAATACAGAAGGAGAGGGAGAAGAAAGGCAAAGTAACAATAAATACTAAAATCTGAATCAACTCTTTCTTCATAGCAGGGATTATGTAGTTCTGAAGGAGATGAACAGAATAATGAACGGCCTTGTTTGCTTAGTGGTGGCCTCTCCAATATCATGAACTGGCCCACATGAGTCTAATTTAAGGATAGATATAAAATATCAACACAGCTTCATGAAGGTCTTGAACAACAGGTTGCATTTTACTCTTAGATCTATTAAGCTGGGCTTGCAAAGACACCTGCACTGAGGTGTTATCCACAAGAACCCTGAGTAACTTTCAGAAAACAAGATGAACATGTAATTTTCTTTAAAATATCACAATAATAATTTCAAGATATAGTATTAATAGGGATTCAGCAAGAAATACAGCTGTTTGTCATCTTACTGAAAGTTTAAAAAGCTCTGGGATAAAAGGGACAGAAATTCAATGGCCTGCCTGTTTGCTTTTCCCCACCCCCTACCCATGTCACTGATGTAATAAAAACTTATCACCTCTCTCTACAAACCTTACCTTGCATTCAATTTTAAAAATCAATGATCTGGAATAAACTGTAAAAATCACTTGCAATAAATTTGCAAAGGACATGCAGACTGCTGGAGTAGTAAAGAATGAGGACAGGTCACTTACACAGAGCAATCTGGATCACTTCATGAGCAGTATTTTAATGCTGGTAAAATACAATCTGTATTTGCAATAAAATATAAGGTAAGATAATAAGAGGATGATGTACCACATTCTTGAGAAAGACTCTGAAGAGGACATGGCCCATAACAGTCAGCATCCAAGGCAATGCTTCCACAAAAAAAAAATAAAAATTTGAGGAAAGAGAGAGAGGGAGATATTCATCAGAACAAGAGGATCTCTATACAGTCCTGATGGATCACTATTGACATGTGGCACCTAATTCAGATATCACCCTTACAAACATTTCTGTACATGAGAAATCCAGAGAAGAACGTGAAGATTAATTAGTCGTGGATAACATTCACTGCCATAGGAAAGTTAAGGAATTCAGTACGTCTCATCAGAGAAAAGGTTAAAAGGGACATAATCATGATTTATAACTACACACAGGCAATTAGAAAAGCTGATACTACAGAGATCAATATGAGCAATCAAATGCATTAAAAGACCAAAATAACTTAAGGTGGAGCTAGAAATGCAAATAGAAAATCAAGTGGAAAATGTACCTGGGGTAATTAAGTATTGCAACAGGAGGTATGAGTGAATTCTCATCACTTGAAGACTTCAAATTAATATTAAACGCCTTGGAAAATACACATGTTCAGTTCGAAACAAAGCCACTGAATCAGCAGAGAAACTGCTTGTTGAAACTCAGTGGTCTGTTGAATTTAAAAGTAAATCCTCATTATGGTGTCTTCTTTCCTTAACTGCTTGTTGAAACTCAGTGGTCTGTTGAATTTAAAAGTAAATCCTCATTATGGTGCCTTCTTTCTTATATATTTATGAGATTTTTAAAAAATATAGCTACAAAATGAATGGGGGTTACCAAGAAAAGGTGTTTTTTTTACTTTCTGAGCACAGAAACATTTAAGGCTAGATTTAAAGCTAAATAAACTGCAGCTACACTTTGGAAAATATTCTTCCCCCCTCCCAGTTTTTCCCATTTCTTGTTCAGAGTTGTACAGTCTACTTAGTTGTCTGATTTACATAATCACGTAGTTTTTCTTCAGTTTTTCTGTTCCTATTTATAAGCCATTCACAAACCATCCACTTAAGTAACAGCATGATTTATTGTAAGAATGATTATGGTTGTTTCAGAGGGAAAATGGAACGCGATTAAATGAAGAATGAACAAGGACATTCTAGAACAAAGGGCTCTAATCCTGCAAAGGATTTGTAAATGAAACCTGCCTCTCAACCCCATCCCAAATGAACTACTGAGGGAATTCAGCAGATACCTTTACAACTGTGGAGCCAAGAGCTTAGCTGAAGACAAAAAATTAAATAAAAGAAATCAACCAAACAACCATGCCCACAGCATCTTATGGAGAAATGGTAAAGCTCTCAGAGCCATCCACATTTTGGGAAAAAAATAATAAATAATGAACTGTATGTATACAGTTGCTGATATGACCCTCTCAACACAGGTCTAAGCACCAAGTCTCCAGAGGGAGAACTGCAAGTAGACCTTTGCCCTTGGATAAGTTCCAGCATCTGAGACAAATGCACCAGCCAAGGAAATGGCTGGGTATTTAAGCTGTGGATCCAAGAGAACACAGCCTTTTCTTATGCAGTAGGTGTTTTGCAGGTGCCACAGGAACCCTAACAACCCATACTTCTTACAGAACTGGTGAACAGTCTGACGAAAGAGTAACCCAAGTTCAGTATCTTCACCTGAAGTGCTTGTTCTCTGCTATTGCAGAAAGAACAAGTGGTGAAAAAGCCCTGCTTGCTTACCAGTAACACTGCCTGTTTACAAACCAGCTCCCTGGCAGGAGCTGCTGAGAGGCTCCACAAAGGAGGAGCTGTGCTACAGGCCCACGTTTGTCAGGAAAAACAACCGTAAGATGTGCACGTGCACATACCCAAGCAACTGCTTTGAAATGCTTGTCTTAGCCCAGAATAACACAGCAGTGATGGATCATATCCTTGCTCAAAGACAGATAATCCTGGTCCATTCCAACTGCACATGAACCAGCAGGAACTTGGGAAAGCCCACACTAAATTGATAGAACTGCCTCAGAAATGCGTATGGAGTTACAGAGCCATTCAGAACAGCACAAAAGCTTTTCATACTTGATTACCATATAAGCAGTTGTTTCCTAAACAGCAAGGGAGGGAGAGGATGCAGCGAGCATGGAGCCCAAGAAAATCAGCTTTGCTGTGCTGAATACGTGTGAATTCCCACTGAAGTAGTTTGAGGAGCTGTGGATGGGCTAAGCTGAGGGACTGGTAGAAGGCACTGCTAACATCCCTGCCGTGGGGACAGCTGAGGTTACCCTGAACACCGTGGTCTTTCCAAGAGGAAAGTACTGAACTATTGTTTTCAGAAATAGCACCGTTACTCCAGAGAAACACCCCCCATTCTAATAATTCCAGTGCAATTATTTAGATAGGAGCACTAATGAATACAGCTGAGACTGCAGCTAGCAGTAATGCCCTGGCTTACAGAAAACACGAGCTAAATGCTAAAATCTACTTTTAACAAAGAGTATTAGGAGAAGGCTGAGAAACTTTAAATTCCAAAGAGTCCTCTAAGCTAAATATGATGCCTATGGATGCAACCAGGACCGGGGGTCTAGTATTTCTGTGATGCCTTTCTGTTTAGGGGTTGGTACTGGTTTGGTTTCAGACTTGGTCTTGCTCACCAGAGAAACAGGATTCCCCAGGCCACCACTTTTCCCACAAGGACCAATTTTGCGAGGAGGAGCAATGGGGGTTTGCAGCTGCTGCATTTTCGTAGCTAACACCGACTCCAAGGAAGAGCTACTGGCAGGTGAGTGGTCAGGCTTCCTCCAGTTTTCCTTGCCCAGCTGCTCTGTGTTCACCCGTGCTTCTGCACTGTATGGTGACTTATCAGAGGGTGGAGGAGGTGCTCTTCTTTTCTTTCCTCTGCTGTCAGTAGGACTTGTAGCATCTCTTTTTGAGTCCAGATGCATGTTTTTCTGAACAGTCATCTCATGAGATCCATCAAAGAGTGATGCCCATAGGGCAGATGCAGACCCTTTTTGCTGGCCAAGAAGGAACTCACCATTGCTCTCTTCAATTTTCCTATGTATGATATCAGCTAAGCCCTCAGGTTTCACTGGAGAGTCAATGCCTGTAATTTTAAGGGACAGCAATTAACCCAGATTAAAACACCACAAATTGTTTTACTTCTATTTTCTTATTACTACTCAGAATACAAAGCTGTATTAGCTGTCTCACCAAGTCTGAACGACTAAGAGTATTAATGGATGAATTGGAAAATATTACATATGCCATCCAAGAGAGAACTGAGGTGACAGGAGGGAATTATTTGTGTGACAGCTGGCATTGAGGCAGCAGGGTAGGCACTGATATTTCTTTCCAAGTAAAAGAAAAAATAAAGTGCTACAGGGAAACCTGTATGTATTAGTTATTAAATACATTTTGTTGTATAGTGCTTTGAAAATTTTGTTTCACAGGAGGCCCATGAAAGTCTGACTAAATAGTTCTGTGCTGCCAGCCTGTAGAAAATGGGACATCTTTACATATATCATTTTTCTCTATGTGCCTTAGGACTGCTTTGCTCCATTTCTTCTTACTGAGTTTTCAATGTATACTGCAGTAGTACCAGCCTCAAACAGCAGCAGTACCTGATTTTCAATAGAATCACAGAACTGTTTAGGTTGGGAAAGGCCTTTAAAGGTCACCAAGTCCAACAGTTACCCTGCCAAGTCCACAACCAACCCCTGTCCCTAAGCACCACATACGTACATCTCTCTTTCAAATACCTCCAAAATGCTGTCCCCACCCCTGCAGCCAGTGCCTCTGCTTGATAACCCTTTCTGTGAAGAAATTCTTCCTAACATCCAATCTAAACCTCCCCTGGGGCAACTGGAGTTTGTTTCCTGTTGTCCTATCACTCCTTACTTGAGAAAAGGGACTGAATCCCCTCTGGCTGCAATCTCCTTCCAGGTACTTGTAGGGAACCATAAGGTCCCCTTGAGCCTCCTTTTCTTCAGGCTAACCACCTGCAGCTCCCTCAGTCACTCCTCATCACATCCTTGAAAAACTCAGTGTTTCACCACCACCACCAGAAGCCATCTGAATTCAGACAATGTTGTTTCTGTTACTCTGCAACTTGAAAAGGCAAATCCCACTTACTCATATCATGGTAGACGGAGGTCGCTTCCTTTGTCAAGAACAAAGGTGGTTTCCGTGGTGACATAATCTCAATTTTCATAAGTTCCTCACAACAATGCTTCCACTGGCCTGAGAGAGAAAAGAGAACAATGACTGGAACTTAAACACATCAGCCTGGAAAAAAAAAATGGAAGTTATTAGGTTGTGTCAGGAAACTATCTCCAAAGTAACACTGAACAGTGAGAATTTACTTTTGTTTAGCAGGAATGCTCAGGATGCGTTTGTATTTTCACGTCTGTATTCATTCTCTTAGCACAAAGGTCATAAGATCCTAGCTGGAATTTAAGCAGCCAGCATTACTGTTACACTGTGATGGCTAAAGACCATAATTTGCCTTCAAATCCCCAAACAGTATAAATCCAAGGGGGAAAAACCAGAAAAATTTTAAGGTTTGGGAAGTTTCATCGAGTTATGAGGAACAACCTCCAATATCCTGCAAGCTGGATGTTATACAGCAATGTTACAATGTTATGGCAAAGGAACATTCTGTTTTTAATAGAGGATAACTTGCCTTTTATCCCTTAGCAGACAAGGAAACTCTTTTTTCTATTAATAGATTTTGACCTTAAGGAAAACAAGACACAGTAAAATTACTTTGTTCATACCAATCATTCCAAGTTTTCTGAGCACATTAATTTTAAGAGAATTTTAGAACCAGGGAAGAAAAAAGGCATTTAAATGCCAAGTGACCCATTTTTTTCTGAATCCAAAGGAAATGTCTCAAAAAATCTGTGGGTAGTATTCTATCTATAATGAATAAGAAGTAGAACTTTTACCCTCTACAGATAATTTAAAGAGGATGCCCTAGTTTTTGCTTGGTGTGTTTCTTTAATTGATAGTGCTTTTTCTCATTGTAAATCACAGTTAGAAATGACTGGAAATACAAGTACGACACTGAGTTTCTACAGCCTCAGTTCAATTATTTGATTGGTGTTGTCTCTGACTAAAGACTGGTATTTCATTAATTGACCTGGTTTTGTTTTCTGACCTGATAAAAATGCCTATCAGGAAGCAATTCTACTTTGTCAATGGCAGCATAACAGCTGACAGTCTCTATTGTCAGTAAATCTGTGAGCCAAGCAGAGAAAAAAGACACAGGCAAATGAATCGATGCAGTTTTTATAATAAAGATTTGGTGATAAACAAGGAGCACAATATACGACTTCAACAATATTTCACACCAATAAATGAGTTCCCTCTGCCATGTAAGATCGGGCTTGTTCCAGAGGTTTGCCAAAGCATCAGGGTAACATTTTATCACCTGTTAAAGGCTGAGGTGCAGCTTTTACCAGGTCCAGGTAAGCAGTGTGTATTTGCTCACCGGATGGAGCGTGGCTGGGTGAGCATATTCCCATGTGATGAGGGCTACCAAAACCTTTGAACTACAACAGAATCAAGCAATCCCTCTTATAACAAAATGTAATTTAATTCATCCATAATACTCTGAGCAGGGAAACCCCAAGTTTACTTGTGATTACTTCCAAGAGCTGGCTGAATCCCCATCCTAGCCAAGGCCCCACCCGATGCCAGCATCCTCACCACTCGGCACTAAGGCTTCCATACTCAGGTTTTGTACTTGCAGGATCTCACCAAACCAACACAGCACTGCTTGGATGCCCAGGCAGAGGTGGACTCCTCCCACTACAGTGGGAAGGAGGAAGAGACAGTGAGCATTTTCAGTCTTAAAAAACATTACCAAGAACACTGCTAAGAGAACAAGTTTTTTTGAGATTGATGGGCATACTCTGCCTCTGATTTCCTGCAAGAACACACGGACTTTGGTTTAGTCAAATATTTGCCTTCCAACGTCTCAGACCACCACCCAGTATTATCCCAGAGAACATATTTCTTTTCGTTCCTGCAAACAAAGGCTTATGAGGCAATTCCAATTCAAATTGCTCCAAGATCCCTTTGATGTTACATAATGCCCCATTCGGAGGGCACGCTGCCAGCACTGCCTGCTTACTTACTCAGATCATAAAAGTGCTGCCAGAAAGCCTCCATCCACTGGTGCAGTTCATCCCTACTGTCAGTAGCAAAACGTTGCGTCACACCCTCTCCAGACACGGGGTTGATAACACAGAAATTATTAGTTCTTCTCTTGGAGTCCTTATCCACAGCTCGAATCCTCGTTTCCTAGGAACAACGAACTCTGCTAATGACTTATTGTTTCACACTGCCATCAACTTATGGCCAATGACAGCGTAAGGAAAGGTAGAATTTGGCTGTTTGTCTACTTCACATTAACACCCAATTGAAAAAAAGAACCAATGTCAGGAACTGATAATAAAATTGTTTTCTCATAAAACTATTAAAATGGCATAAAACATGAAGAATAAGGGAATAAAGCACAATTATCAGAGTTCAGTCAGAATCACAGAACGTGCTGTAATTCTGTGTTCCCCCTCTCTCTACCTTCACCAGCTCATCTCACACTGCTCGCTCTTCTCCACAGCAGTTTAGTGAATAATCTACAGTAACAGCAAGCAGCTCCTTTTCTCCAAACAATTCAGATGGACAACCACACTATTACAGCTACCATTTACACCTCCTACTGCACTTTCGTGGGCCATTGTTTACCCACTGCATTGTAAACCTGTATCTATTTAATGTTCATCTTAGTGCATCAGGACATTCAGGGTAATACAGTAGTGACAGGAAAATTAAAATGAAATTTACCTAGGTCATCTTTAAATGGGTATTTGTAGCAGTAACTCATACAGTTCTACTAGAACGAGATTGTGATCCAATAGAAAATAACTATTTCCCATTTAAAAATAGACATTTTCTTTTTAACTTAATTAGGAAAAGCTATATAGAAATAATTAAATGTGTATATATATCCAAAAAGCATAACACAGGTCTAACAAATCTCTTTAGCTAGAGTTAGAAAAGCTCTCAGATTACACAGCAGCACTGTTAAGGTTTTTCCTTCTGTTCAGGGACATAGTTCAGTTGCTCTAGACAAGATCCAGTGGTATTTTCAGAGTATTTACTTTCTTTGTTATGGCATTACTACAATAAAGAAGAAAAAAAACTACTATCCCTAACTCAGGGATTTTTGTGTGCGTGTAAAATGCTAAAAGCTTTAAGTCTAGCTAAAACACAACTAAAAGAACTCCAGAACACAACTGGACAACATTCTGCTCATCACAACATGACGAGTAAATTAAAACAGCTAACATCACCTTATTTGTTGAAGTAGAAGCCCTGGGAATATCTTGGCACCCGCGACCTGACCTGACTGAACAAGTGGCAGCCCCTCACAGCGCTGCTCCTCGGGGGATTTCTGGCATGCCCAGGAGAGCAGAGCAGTGAGTTTTGGTGCCAGGGCACCAGCCAGCCCCCTGCAGCTGGCCAGCCCCAGCACCCAGCAGGATGTGAGGACATCTAACACACAGCAAGAGCGTGCACTGCCCCCGCCACAGCGGGGCACTCCTGGCATGGGCAGTGCCCAGGATGTGAAGGAAGCCAACAATCACAGCCAGGGCTGTGTTCAAACGTCTCCTGTCTGGATGGACAGTGACTCTGACCACAAAGGTGGCTCCTCAGAATACAGTGGGGACAGAACAAGCAGTTCCCTCCTACACAACTCAACCAAATGTCAAACATCTGCTAAAGGCATTAAACGTACACCTACAGAAATCAAGTTCACGCATGGGATCCCGTGGGGATAAGCCTAGTTCCGATACTCAGAAAAACAAAAGTTACTCTACAGACCATTCCCCAGATTTTAAATGCATTACTGAAGTAACCATTTGAAACACCAACAACTGCTTGTAGCATATCTGATGGATATGTTCATTTAAATTCTTCTGTCTAAAAATAGGAGATGAAGTAATTCATCCATCAGTGCTCTATATCCCATTAACTCAGGTAACCATAGATACCAGCAAAAAATGAAATCAAATAGATTAACATTTGACAGGTAAGAACTTCAAGCATACCATACACACAAGTTTATTTAATGATGTTTGCTGCAGGTTTTATCCCACAACTGTGGTATTATTCAAAGGAGATAAATCCTCAAGCAACCATCTATAGCTGATGCTTGAATATTTCAGCAGTCATACAAGATGCCATTACAGCAATGGGCTGATGAATTTGTCAGGCTTGGGTGAATTACATGACATGCCCAGTTCCACTTAATAAAAGCAAAACCCAAACTAACAAAAAGCTATTAAAAACAAAACCAAAACAAGCAGAAAAAAAACCCCCAAAAAAACCAACAAAAAGTGATTTAATTTACCATGTTGTAATAATATCTTTCCCAGTTATTAAAAAACTGAACCAACTCTGCTGTAGCAATTGTAAAGACCAGAACAATCAGTGGATGGCAACAGGAAAACAATTGAATCTTGAACTCAAGTGACTCTTCTGGGGAAGCTGAAGCCAGTTTTATATTCTTTATGCAAAATATTGTTTCTTTGAAGATGGGGAAAGTCTAAAAGGGAAAAATATATGGTATTTGTAAATACCAACCTCACTCTTTATTTCTCCCCACAAATAAAATCTCTTTGCCTGATATACCTCTCTGGAAAGCTTGTATTTTAAGCTAAGAAGAAGAGAGAAGTTTTTTACTGCTGAGGTACAACATTTTCCTGATAAGCCAGTCCTGACACACTGAGTGCTGGTTATAAAGACCATTTTAAGACATCAGAACAAATTACAGTTCTTAAAAATACTGAATAACCTAGAGACCGAGTTCTGTGTATCTATTTTAAGGTTAAACAAATCAAATACACATAACAAACTCTCTTCATGTTTTTAGTACAAAAAAATAAACCAAACTGAGAATCAGTACAACACTGGAAACAAGTATAACCTGTACATGCAATATTAATAATTTCCATTAAATTGTTTTAGGCAAGCAGGGAAAAATGGTTACATTTCAAATTATGGCTTTCAAACTTTAATGCAGAAGACCAAATTCAGTCTATCAGCTAATATTTTGTCCCTTCCTTGTTTTGTGAGCTTGTACTAATGTGACATCCTCATGGCCACTGGCTGGCCAGTACAATGTGTGAGTACGACCTGGATAAGCAATATTAGGATATCTGTGCCATTGTTCTTGGGAGCACTGCAGCAGCTGAAAACATGGAAAAGGAGACAGCAATGTATGACCAGCAAGCATTTTGTGAAGCAACAGTGAGCCAAAAAAGCAGCTTTCAAACTGCTCAGTTTGAGCATGTGTGGTACAAGGATCTGGGTGTTCTACCTGCTTCCCCTGCCTGCATCCACAACCTCTTTCAAGCAACTGCAAGACTAAACTGAGCGATGGGATAGGAGATACCAGACATTTGGAGGTACTTAACTAGTCTGTGCTTTTCCAATACATTTTCACATGAAGGCTTTCCTAAGCCAACCGGTGGGACCAGGTCCTTACTCCAGAGAATACAAGTATTTTCAGGGCTTATCTCATTTCCCTGTGCTGGAGTTCCCCAACACACACCATGAATACGCTCATGTTGCTGGCTCCATAAAAACTCACATGGTCCAGAACTGATATCCATATTCCTCTGCTCCAGCCTAAGGATGAAATCCCTGCTTCCCTAGAAAATGGATGGATCCCTTGAAGTTATGCTGCTGTGACCATCACCACATTTTCCAACAAAGTCCTGTACCTGACCTAGCCAGAACAGCTGTACCACCAAGGACTGTCACTCCAGGTAATTGATTTTGTCCCTCTGCTCCTGCTGCACTGCTCAGCAGTGCTCCCGTGACCCCGAGCCTGCAAACCCTTGCTCCTCACCCTGCTCCCCTCAGCCATCCGCACGGGCACGGAGAGAGCCCTGGGCCTGCCCACTGCAGGGCCCCGGGACAAAGACTGCATGGACAAAATATGCCAGGAAGGGAGCTGTGGGACTGCAGCAATTTGAAGCGAGATCCCAGAATCCCTCAAGCTTCATGCACCCTTGGCACAAAAAAAGTTTTATAATCTATGAATCAAACACAGTAGATTATGTATTCCAAACACTGAGCAACTAACGTGAACTGCTGGAACATGCACAAATTTACTAAGCTATCACGTGTAGGCAAGGCCTTTATTTTTCATTTCAAATTAAAGAAAAATTGAAAAAAAATCAGGAACTGGCCCATAAAGGATATTTCTTCAAATTGGATTCCAGTAAATTTTCTTTGCTACAGAAAATATCATTTCTCTTTTCCTACTTAGTTGTGCAATATAATATGTTATAATCACATTTAGCTGGAACAATAACAGTAGCACTTGCATAATAGGAACTGCAGAACCATTCTTGCTCAACAGCAGTAGCAGTGAAGTCATCTAAAGTTGAAGTAATGACTTTGCTGGTCTTAATGGCTTCTTCAAGTCTCAATTCAAAGGGAATTGGAAATACAGCTATCGGTGTGAACATTTTCCAGAGAATTTCTCATAAATCCAGATGATTTCATTACTTCTCAGAAAGTATCCTTAAATTACATGTAAAGGATCAACTTCACATTACAAATGAAAATGCCACATATGCAACCCAAAGAGAATTTAGCTAGAATGTCTAGAGTTGATGTTCAATCTCAACTTTCCCTTTGAAATTGCTGTTTCTTTAACAACATGTAGCAGACAAGCCCATACGATTAGTCTGCTTTCATTTAATCCATATGAGAAATTTCATAACAAAGGAATCAAAAAACAGCTGCAGGCATTAAGTTATTTTCAAGACAAACTGTTTAAGTAGTAAAGGATCCAAATATGTTTTCAATAGCGTTTTCTTTTTTTTGTTTTTATTTCCATTGAAGAAGGATTCACAGTCATTCTCCAGCAGCCTGGTATTTTTGTAAAAGGGTGTAAGACACATAAATCATGTACCTTTTACAGTTAGCTTTAAGGATACCCTGCAAACATAAGGACACTCTATCAGCAAAGGCTTATCAAGCTGGATTTTAGGTTCTAAGTGCACTGGTTACTCAAAGGAGCAAAATATCTCAGGACAATATGATTATTTTAAAAGGAAAAGCAAAATCAGGATTTAGACTAAAACTGAGAACCCCAAGGAAAGATATGAGGCAACCTGATAGACAATTTTAAAAAATATTCCTGTCACATTTTAAAATTATTTAGTCATTCTAAAATTTACTAAAGTTTACCATTTCTTAACTGATACAGTGAACAGCTGGAAAACAGAATTATGGCAGAGGCTGACTAGTGAAATTGAAAGTGACTGAAGAAGTAAACCTACTTAAATATATATCACAGTATAAATATTTATTTAATGTAAATATATGAACAGTTGGAAATAAAAATAGCACTAGAAAACCAGGTAATTTTATTTAAGGAATTGAAATCTTAGCAATTAAAAATAGCATCCTAACACAAACAGGCGTTTGTTGTGACCCATAAACAAGCACGGGTCATTGTTATGCCCCATTTAAATGTTTGGGTTCTACAGCAGCGTCGCTCTGAGCGAGAATGCAGTGACCTCTGCCAGGAGCGCTGGAGCCGCCCAGAGCTGCTTCTGCCGCTGCAGGGAGCGCTCCGTGTCACCCCGTGGCCCCGGTGTTCCCAGCCCCGCGCTCGCAGCACACAGGCATTTGAGCAGCCGTGTGACCAGCGGGGTAAGAGATCTGGTAAAGGCAGACACGGAGGGAGCCAAGGCCCTGCTGCCCCCCGCGCCCTGCCCTGGCCTGCCCGGCAGAGCCCGGAGAGCCCGAGGGTAACACAGCTTCCAAACGGGCCTGCTCGCTAATGTAGGATGAACCCAGCCAGCTATTGCAGACAACACTTAACTCCTCTGCCCGTCCTTATGGGATAGTAACCCTTGATGCCTGCACCAAGACCAGTTTTTGAAAGCATCTGTTGTCTCTAATGCTTGCCATTCTAGAAGGTCCTTCCCATGACGTTACCTGTTTAAATATTCAGATTAATTACTGTTTCTTTGGTCAAATAGTAAGCAATGTTTTAAAATTTCATTTTAAACTCAGGGTTTTCAACCAGGGCATGAACAACAGCAATAATATCATCCTAGAGAACAGAGCTTCCAAAGTTATTATGCTCTGGACAAAACCAGCATTAAGAAAAGCAGCTTATTTTAAGGCACTAAAATATTTAGAAAAATTTTCCATTTCTCCTTCTAATTAAGACTGGCCAAATAACACGTAACAACAAAAAAGCTTTTGTTGCAATTCCACCTTGCTGAGGACAAAAGTTTACCAAAGCATTGCTAGGGGACTGTAAGCAATACATTTCCAAGGGCTGTCTTACAGAACTGTGATATAAAAGGTTATTACTTTTCCCATAGAAAAACACTCTCCTTTTTGCCTCTATGCTAACCAGTCTAATGCAATAGAAGGAATTTACATCCACAGCTAAGGAATGTTATGTTCCTGCTGGGGGACTGCAAATTTCACTGAAGTACATCCCACCCTCATTCTACCTATAAAGCACTCTGCATACCAGCAGCTTAGAGCCCAAATGACTGCACATTTCTTAAACTAAAAATAATGCCCCCAAAATAATAAAATAATTTTTAAAACCCCAACCAAAAAAAAACCCAAAACAAACAAAAAAGCCCCATGCAACCAATTTTACCTTGTTGATGGAAACTGTCAGTGCTGGCTCCACTTTAGCCTCAATTTCTTCTGGTGAGTAATAACAAAGGAGTTTGCCACCTCTCAGTACACAATACAGCCTCCTCCAGCTTGTCAGACCTCCTACCATTTGCTAAGGGGAAGAAGTAGTCAGAAATTGCCAATCATAAACCTAAACCAAAACCACATTGCAAGGTGTACACATATCAGCCCTGAGTGATCAAACCTTAGCCACACCAAATTCATTCCTTTCTGTTACAGAATATTTCAGTCACTGATTTCTGAAACGTTAGCAGCACTTTAAATGTCTTCTGGTGTTTTACAGTTTTCACAGACTTGCCATGTGACACTAATAGTACAGAATCTGCTGGTTCACACAGAATGAAATCAAGATCTGGTGTCTAGTGTAAAAATAAAAGCACCTTTACTAACTACAGCAATTGCACAATAATAGAAATAAAAAGAGTATTTCACTTCGGAAATACACAGTACATGCAACAAATGTCAAGCAAAGACATTTGTCTAGAATTTCCACTTCCTCAAATGAATTTTCTGAACAGCTTTCATAAAACCATAACAGTTTCACAACCAGTTTAAAGCCTGTAATTTAGCACTCCTGACAAATGACCCAGACCCTCTGGCCCTCCACTATCACCTTCTCATTCGCCTAGTTGTGCAACAAACCAAAACAGAGAAGTAAATTCACATGAATCCTTTCTGAAGGGATGAGTTTAGATATGGCTCTGTTCACCAGCCTGATTCACCATGCTGTGAGAGAACTCTTGTGGCAGCACAACAAGGGGTACATACAAGGAGGAGAGCCACAGGACTGGTGCCATTAGTACCGCTGCAAACCAACTCTGAAACAAGAGTTGTACTTGATCTTCATTAACAGCCCACATCATTCATGCAAAGAAAAGATTGATTTCTCCATGCTCAGCCACTGAAGGCACCTTTTGTAAATGTAGTTGAGAGAGAGTTTCCCCCTTGTTCTAGATAGAACAGGTAAAAAACAACAGTTCTCAATACATCACTTCAGGTAAAAGCAAATGTTTTAGCAATGGACCCTTAGTGACAGCTATTAACAGCCCAGGATGCAAACACAAGCAAGGTCTTACCTGCTGATTTAGAAATCCTGCCATCATATCCCTGGCCATGCAGGAGGGCTGGACAACTAAACGGCAACACATGTTTCCATACAGGGGCAGCCAAAAAGAGGATTCCTCTGGGGGAAAGAAAAAGGCAAAAGACAGACAAGCACTCAGGTCTGAAAAATGGCCCTAAACATATAGTTTAGCTTCCTACATCTGTTTTTACATTAAGATCCTGAGTTTAAATAAGCACATTTTCGTATTTTAAGGAGTTAGATTTAATCCCGCTGGATTAGATTAAAACTGATTTTTAGTCTTCAGGAAGTGTTTTTCAATTGAAAAATTCCGTAAATTACAAAATAATTTCAAGTAAAGATGGCAACATTGCTCTGCAAAAAAGAGTTGTTCTTACATAAAACGTAGCTCATTTCAGAGCTACAAACTCATGAAAGGTAAGTACACTGGCCCTCTCAGGTAGTATGATCCCTGAGCCCATCCCATTGTGGCACACAGTTACATTTATACATGAGCACTTTGCTTCAGATTATTTTAATAAGGCTTGGAATTGGTATCTACTTTTGTCATCAGCACTAGAGGAGCATTTAGGGTTCCAAGGAGTTTCTAATGAATTGGAATCCCTCAGCTCCACAATGCACTAGGCTCTCTTCTGTAATCAGAAGTAGGTAATGCAATGTTCCACTAATGTGACTGTGTCTTTGGTCAAGGCTTAGAAATGCTTGTAATGAACCAAAATATCCAGGTATGTCCTTCCTCACCGGACTAAATTATGTAAATTAATGTCAGAAAAGGAACTTCAAGAAGAAAGAATATAAAGTACTAATAAAGAAAGGCTAACAAATGTCAAAGGTACTCAAAATTAGTCACACAACACTTCAAGAAATAAATGCCCAAAAATTTTTGAATCTGTACTTATTCAGAATTACTGAAACGTAAAGAAGGAAATTCCTTCTGAGGTCAAGTTTACCCCAGTAAATTATTTAAGTTCCCAGAAGCAACAGTGAGAATCCCATGCCTTAAGTTAACAATTGGAGGATGGCTCAAGGGAAGGGCTATCCTTGCAGAAAATAATGGACAAAGTGCCAAAAAGTGAAAATACCACCATCAGTTGCAGAACAATCAGTCCCCCACGGTGCCAGCGTCCAGGCTGACTGCTCCCAACTTGTGCTGCCCCCGAGCTGAGGGCAGCAGCCAGCACAGACTGCAAGCACACACCCTTACATCCTGTGTTAAATCTGGGCCTCAAACCAGCTCGCCAAACTGAAGCCATTTTTCTCCTTTTCTTTTGATTACAGAGGAACAAACTGTTCTGCATTCTGATACCCTTCCTTGGTTGTGAGAAAGGGGAAATAACTTGTATATAACTACAACTCACGTAAGATGGAGATGCAAATGACAGGAGAAACTCCCAAAAGAATTAAATTTTCATCTGGACTTGAAATTTTACTCAACTTATAGTTTATTCAGCTGTGTACAGATGCCTGGTTTAGAGCCGTTAAATATTTTATTAAAGTTGTTCTATATTGAGTATCAAGAAAAATAATCTCTTTAAGCTCTTTAGTTCACAAGACTTTAATGCAGAATGTTACTGGTTTTTTATTTCCTTAAATTGATACCATATGTACTTACCATTTCCTGTAATGGTAAGGTTGTGGGTCCTGAAATTGTCCTCAGCACTTTCCAGCCCCAAAGTGGTGTATGCTAGCAAACTGTACTTTGCTCCACTAAATGTGAAAGAAAAGGCATGTTTAGGACATTTCTGCTTCATGTTGCTCGGGCAGTAATTAAAGAGAGTCTAGACATGCCTGAGAGACCACATTTCAGTACAAGGAAACACCAAGGTGCAGGCCAGGACCTGTCAGTGGCCACAGATGGACACCTCCAACCTCTTCCCATACAGCTCCGGTGTCTCTGGTTCTTCTTGCAAACACTGTTCCACAGCCTGTTTCTCTCCTCCCTAGATCCTTATCTCCTGCCTCCATGTGTGTACCTCCAGTTCCTCCCACCCCACAACTTCCAGGCCAATGCCATCATTCATTACAACTCTTTCTGTTGCCTCCTCTCTGGGACCTGCTGGCCAGGACACTTCTCATGTGGTCACTGCCCATGAGCTGGGCTTGTGCTTCCTGAAGGGTCAGCAGCGGCCAAACAGGCATAAAGGCCGTGCTATCCAAACCCCCTGCACCCTCTGGATGCTCAAAGCACCCTCTCCTCTAGCCAGACACCAAGAAACTTTCAATAGTTTTACAGCTCTTATTCCTAAGCCTAAAGCAATTAGATTTGGTAATAGGTTCAAAAATTCCTAAAGTTAATAGAACAACTGATGACAACCTTTATCTGAAAATACAGGTTAAAAATTAAAAGGCATTGTAATGCTTCTCCATGTTGCTCTGCTCTTGGCTTTGCCTATGCAGACTACACTTTATAAACCAGTTGTTTATATATGTAGTTTTAATAGGATCCAATAGATTGATTATTCACAGGTAGAAATCTGTACAGAAATCCTATGGTTAGTTTTGTAGCAGAAAGGATTTCTTTTCACTTATTGGAATTAGAGGTTTCAGAATCTTTTATCTTAGTTTTGTATTTTGCCTAGGGAAAAAAAGTATCACTCTTACAATTCAGCACAGTGCAATTGTGGAATGCAGTTCTTGGAATAAACTGGTATAAATTTAGTACGTTTAACCTTTTCTCCGAAATACTCATCGGACCAAGTAACAGATTTATAGTCCAGCAATGCAGTAGGAATTCCACCTGGCTAATGGCAGTTAGAACAAAGTTCACAAGACAACAAACCCCTCCAAATCACTAACTACTCTCCCCAACAGGATCTAGTACAAGATCCTTAAAATATTTTCAGTAGAGCATAAGAAACCTTAGTGGTGTAAAAGCTGAGAAGACACCATTGAAGTAAGATGATCAAGAATAGTTTTCCATCTTAGTATTGTTCACATTTTATTTTTCTTACTAGCACAGTGGGAACGTCCAGTTTTCAGACCTTTGGCTCTGCAGATAAATAAGGAGAGTGTCTACCTCCCCCTAACCCAAACGAAAGAGGAGGAGGAAAATAGGAAGTTTGTTAGAGGGGAGGTCTGTTACTTATCTGTCTCCAGGGAACAAAGAGAAAATTAAATACACTGTAACATCCTGGGTGAAAAACCACTGCTATAAAGCGTTTCAAGAGGGAAATCTGAACAAAAATCCATCAGCATTTGTATATATTCCCTGCTAAAATGTTCCTCAACAAAAGATTCTCCACTGATTATGTTTGACCAAGCAGTTGAGCAATGCATTACCATTCTATTTAAACTGTACCAAAAAAGTTCAGTTTCTTCTCACAGATAAAACTGCTGTGCTGATTCTAAAGTTACTTTTTTTTTCCTAAAGCATGACTAATTACCACAACAACGTTGCCAAAAAAAATAGCTACTTCACTTTAAAAATATGCTCCACAGTAACATTTTCATTCTAAAATACAAGTCATTCCTTTCAGGCAGCTGCAATATAATTTAGGAAAGTTTTATCTACAGATATTTTTCAGATTTAACTGGCTAATCAGGATTGTTGACTGTGTTTTTCCCTTGCATTTCAAAGAATTAGCTAACTGCCTTAAATGGCAGTTTCTTTGTATAGCAAAGAATAATCTGCCTGCTGCATCTCATTCAGTACTTTGCATATCTGTAGTATTTTTCCATGTAACAACTTCATTAAAAAAAACCCCAAGCAGCTCATCTCCATAACATGCCTGTGGCAAAGGCTCATTGTTAAATTTGTTTACTGATCAAGAGACAGAGGCACCGAAGTTTCCACACAGACCCAGGTGTGGGAAGGTCTAACTATAACACTCTATCAATGTATGTTAATTAAGACATCTTCAATTCCAGAATCTATTCCTGAATATTAAACCCAATGTTAGAAATCCCCATCTTAGCTCATTCATTCAATGTGAGTGAAGGAGTGGAAGACTTGTGAGGTTAAAAAAAAAAAAAATCAATATGCTCAATATTCAATCAGATCTTAAATAACAGAGGGTAAAACCAAATATAACCTTCAGGTGCTAACAAGAACCCAACCATAAAAGTGAGGCCACCAGATTAGACTGTGTACTTCCAGCAGAATATCACTGGGGATTTGCCAAATCAAACACAGGACACCGAAGCTGCTGCACCTTCAGCCCAGTGGAGGACAACACATCAAACAACAACCAGTGCACGCACAGGCCACTCTGCAAACGAGTAAACAGGCACTTGAGGGAGACTCTCCAGTGATTTATCCAAAGAGCAACCTGGTTACACTGGAATTTAATAGCAAAACTGCACTAAATTTTTTTCTTCCATGAAAAATGTAAAAAAAAAAAAAAAAACATTTAAGCTAGAATTGAAAAACTAAGCAGACTAAGACTGTATAGAAACTAAATGAGGGATAATTAAGAGAGAATATCTGTATATTTCAAATTAACTAACTTAAGCAACCACTCAAACCCTTTGTCGCTAAGCTTTTTCAAGAATTTCGAAGTCTGACAGTTTCCTCACTAACCAGAGAGATTTCTAAGCCAAGAAGTCTGAAACAGAGGGATCACAGAGTTTTTGGAAAATAGAGAATTTCACTCATGTGTGCACTGGAAAGAAAAAGGCTTGTACAAATGAAATCTACAGAGAAAAGGTGTTCACATAATATAGAAAGTTCACTTTTTTGTTGCAGTTTAATTTCCCCTGCTGGACTGGTAAAACTCTCTGGGAATACTTGAAAGATCTCTTGTAATCTTGCAGTCTCTTCCCTTTTATAAGGGCTACATACCAAGGTCTAACTAATATAAATCCTTGGGGGAACCTATAAAAAAATTGACAACTTATTTTCTGCCTATAATAACTCATTTCTTTCCAAACAACTATTTTAATCACCCAGCAATGCCATCACTTAACACTTCGTTGTTCATTTAATTGTGTTAAGAAAGTAATAGTCACTGTGAGATGATTATCTACAGTAGAAACAACAAACTTCCAAGATGGAGGGAAGGAAAATTCAATTGAGAAACCAAAAGCAAAGCCCAGGGGAGGAGGCAGCTGTTTAAATTGCCTACTGGTGCTTGTTCCTTAAAAGACAGGCAATCTATACTGAAGCAGAGAAGCCAGTTGTTATATCTGATTCAAACTGTGTCTAATGATAGTGCCTCATGGCTCAGCTGAAGCTGGTGGAAAGCACAGCCACCTGACATGATGCAGATTGAAAAATGCATTGTCAGTAGGTGGAATCCACTGGAAAGTTAGTGATAAAATTTGTTTTGCTCTGTGGATAAGATCTCTTGGATGTCTATTTTTGAGTCAAACAGAAAAATCAGTTTACAGTTTTGTCAGTTCAACAAAGATAGAATATGCTTGAATGTTTCCTTTTAAAATCCCAGCAAATAGATATATAAACTAGGCTAAGCCTAAATACCTAGCAAGAATTAAGCATTGATTCTTTATGGTCAGCTGCCAAAAAAAAAAAAAATTCTTTGAAAAATGTTCTTTCTAAAAAACTATAAATAAATAAATAAACCCAATGCTACTAATATTTCCAAAGTCAGTATTTGGCCTGCTCAAATCCCAATGAAATTGAAGTAGCTGGAAAATATTAGTAGGCAGTTAATGTTTAAAAGGAAACAGGTAAATTATTGCATAAAACAGGTAAATTATTGCATAAAACTGCATAAAACAGTTATGCCTATGAACACTGAAAACCAGTAAGTCATTTTAAAATGTCCTGTGCTGAAGCCAATTCAGAAATCTCCTGCTAAGTAGCCTTAAAGTGCCTGTAACCATAAAGTGCCTTTGGCAGTGCAGAGTTCTACTGAAAAGCTGGCAAGTGGAAGTAGGGAAGAGGGTACAGGAGTGGTTTCTCCTGCCTACATACACAGCTTTTCCCATTTCACAACTTGTTACTTCTACACATATCTACCTGTCAAGTATGAGCAACACTGGCTAGGTGCAAAAATAGTATGGGGGAGGAAGTAAACAGGGAAGGGGGAAGGAGAAGAGGCAGATGGACAGAGAGTCACACACAGACTGTACAAGCTCAGCTTCCTCTGGAAATCAAACTAAAATTATGGAGTTTGCAAAGAACAGTGGATTTATCAGCTGCCTGGCTGTGGAGCACAAAGATAAAGGCTGCTTGTGTGTTTCTAGATCAGAACCAGGCCCCAAGGCTCAGCGACATGGTTGGAATTCACACCTACTTTCTCATTTCCTATTTAAAATGTAAATTTTTTTTTCACTTGGGCAAGTAGAGAAAAAGCCAGTTTCTTGGCAGTTTGCCAAAAATTTACAATTCTATTTGGCCTATTTCTATTTTAAAAGCTATAAAACCAGAACATCAATGTATGTGGCTTACTGGATGACTGGGTCAGCAGGCAAAAGGGGTTCAGTGCTGTCTTCTTCCAGCGCAGCTTTGAGTTTCTTCCCTGTAGCTTTGCTGAGGGATGTTTTAAGTTTCTTTGCCAGTTTCTTAGGAGTGTTTGTTATATATAAAGACTCCTCTGTACAGCAGCTATACACTTCAACCTTCACCTGGAAATCTGGGCTTGCTTCATCACTGAAGTGGGGGAGGAGAAAATTTCAGAGCGTTTGTTAACAAACTGTGTATAGAGCCAAGGAATGCTGCTGCTACTTTATAGATTAAATAATATATTTCTAATCAAGGGAAGCAATGCCATAACATTCAGGCACAGATATACATTAATATGGAATTCAGGAATAGAGTATGTAGCAGTAACTTAGTATTGGGGTCATGAGATGGATAATTGCAGCATAAACAATTACAAACAGGAAATTCAACATTTATGTTAAAAATGGAAAAAAACACCCACATTATGGAAATACACAGGCAAGACATTCAAACACACTTAAATCTGCCCTCTACTGTTACACAAAATCACGATTGAAAACCTATCCCTGCCTATGGCCCTAAGTCAGATTGAACTGTTTAAAAGATATCTTAGCTGTACCCCGTCCCCTTCAAATTACTGGGAAAAAAAATGCTATCTAATAAAATCTGTCATTTGCAACTTAACTACCTACTGCTGCATCCTCTGGCCCACAACCTCTCTCAGTTTTCAGTTTACTGATTCTCTTGTTCTCAAGTTTAGTCATCAAGCAGAAGCCTAACCTCATCTTTCAGATCCCAGTCATGTCATTACACACATGCCATAATGAAATCACTCCAAAAGCTTTTATATCAAGTCTTACTATGCCTCGTGGGATACAAGGCAAGTTCAGGTGCCTTTTCTGCTTTTGTTGCAGTGCTTCTCAGAAAATTGTAAGTCTCATAACTTTGAAGAAGCAGATTTAAATCTTTATCCACACTCTTAACTTGAATGGGTGTTTAAGAGAGTTTAAAATTTGATTTAAACTCAGTTTTCAGGATTCTGATTTAAAGTTTTTGGTAGTTCTAGTTTTCCAGTCAGTCTTCCTCAGGAAACAGACTCTAAATTGTTGATAAGAAAATAAAGGTAGGGAGTGGAGTCGAGCACATGTTCAGGGAGGTGTAACAGCCATGAGGTGTTACATGAGGAAAGAGACTGTAACCTGCTGGACAGGTGAACAACGAAACACTGGGTGCAATATTTACACCTATAATGTCACAATGCTTTCAGGTTTTAGCATTAATTTAATGCTGTCCTTGAGATGTAAGTTTATCTCTTTATATAAAGAAAAATGCTTCAGCAGGGCAAAAATTAAAAGTAGAGATCAACTGGTACATCTACAACCAGCATCATTTTGTACACAAAAACCAGCCTTCCAGAGATGGGGATCCTCCACCCACTAAATGAACAGAGCCTCTACTGATTCCTTTGCCCACAGCAAAACCTAGTGGACCTCAGCCAATGTTATTCATAATCACATCCACCTGCAAAAGAAAACAGCAATATTTGTGCTTCATTCAACAGAAGGAAATTATACTCACAATATGGTTACATTTTCAAAACAGATATCTGTTACTGCTTCATCCACAATAGTCACCTCAGTATCAAAAACCTCAGCTCCCATTCTGAACAAACAGAACACCGCATAGCGCTGCGATTCTGGAGAGAGAAACAGAGAACTTTCATCAGCCACAGTGCACGTCACAGTGCTCAACACTGCCAGTAAACAAAACAAAATGGTGATGCAGACCTCCAAGGAATTGCCCTCAAATTCTTCCCACCAGAAATGTTCATCATAGGGTTTAATGACAATTGACCTATCAAAGCTGCTGTATAGGTAGAACAACATACACAAAGGGGAAAAAATGCCTACCTCTATTAGAAGAAAAAAAAAAAAAGTTGAGTAATCAGGTATAGTTTCTGCTAGCAACTTCAAAAGCTTAAGTAAAAATGTAATTTTGTTTAGTAAAATTGACTTTACACCAAAAAAACCCAAAACATTTGATCCAAAGTCTGTATCATTTTATAAATGTGCTACATAGGATTAGGCTATTTTGCCATGCTTTGCATCTCTGACCCTATTGAAAATCAAACTGAAATCAATGCCAGGTGACAGCTGGAGCAGATTTAGGATTAATCTCCATGACACAGCAAAATGCATGTACTTGAAGGCTATCCAATAATACCCTCAACACCAACAGTCAACTTTCATTTAAATTTCTCATTGGAAACAGCCTCCAATATACTCTCTCAAGTGCAGACAAGACATAGAACAATGTGTTTAAGCAGAAGTTTCTCAGTTAACCATTTAATACAACATTCTTCTGTTGCTTCCTCTGGAATTCTTCCTCAGGTGGACTCTTTAGAGAGTAGGGTTTAAACACAGAACCACAGGACTTTGAACTAACTCAGCTTGCTACAACCAGCAACTTCAAATTACAAGCATTTACACAACAAAGAGTAAAATATAGACCTAATGAAAGGTCAAAAAAGGGATTGAAATGAGTATGAACTTCCTCATTCAGTTTAAACTTACAGGCATAAGCAATTGCTTATCAAAGTAATTAATTACATCTTACATACTTTCTTTTTTGCTGAAGTGGTCAGAGCCTTTCCACATTAATGGTATTCGAATATCTAAAGGGGGAAAAAGAAGGAAGGGAGATTAAGTTACAGTGAATATTATAGATCTGTGATCAAAACAAATTACAAGAAGTGTGTTGTTTCTTTTTCTGGTGTTCTGGTGGTAACAGGGCCTTCCACCCAATGAACAGCATAACTGTTCCAAAATTATTATCCACATCAAAAGTAAGTGCAATAATTAGTTCAACTTGAAGTGCCATTTCTGCTTAGAAATTGTGCTAGAATAAGGAATATTTTAAATCTCATTCGAAAGTACCTGAAATAACATTTCAGAGAAGCTGTGTAGCATAGTTCTGAGAGGTATTCTCTGAGCCCATTATTATGCACAGATGTAAACCAAAATCCTGCTTGCCTTGTGCTGAAAGCCACTCATCCCACTGCAAGAGGAAAACCTTCCTATTTTAAATAAAAGACTGGGATATTTATACTGCAAACACTTCAGTCTTGTTTTGCTAACCACAGAGAAAATACCACTTGTAATCACATTCCCAGTGAGAATTGTCTTAGTCAGCATAAAAAGAGTTTAGAAATCTTTTTTCTTTTAACACAAAAAATATCCTTCTACTTCAGAACCACAGTAGAGAGGCAATTACAAAGCCATTATTTTAAATCATGCCTGTCATTTTAATATTAGGAAAGTATTTTCTTCACTAAATTTTCCAATTTATCTACTAAACTCAACACAGTACTAAGTGACATTTTCCTCCAGCTTAGAGGACTCAGGTGAAGACAATGTTTTTTATTAGTTTCCTGTTAAAAGACAAATGCTGTGAGGGCTTTATAAATCCAAACCTGATTTCTGAGTACAAGGGTGCTGTTTAAAAGTATATGCAATATATTAAGTGACACATGATGGCAGCAGTGAACAGCATGAACTCAGCTGTCTTGTGACAAAAATCTTCAGTGTTGTTACAAAGAAGCATTGCCGACTCCAGTGTTGTTTTCATATGAGACTGATGGAAAAATCCACATTCATGATGCTAAGATGCAAAATCGTGCCAGTATTTTGGCATCAGATTGTCATGTATTCCTACAGGGGTTTACCCAGCAAAACTTGTTAAGTGAAGTCACATATAGTCACTGTCTCAGAAGTTAATGGAAAAATTCAAATTTCATTTAACTTTTATTATGAGACATCTATTTATAAAAGCTATTTCAATATTGAAACTTTCAAATTCATCTATTTTTAAGTGTTCATGAAAACAAATGAACTTTCAAGTGAACAACCAGCATACAGCTTTAGACTTCTAACTTCCTAAAAATCAATACATCACCATGTTCTGAAACTGCCTTTCACTTCTAAAGATGCATTTGCATAGCAAGCATTTCTAAAAATAGGGGGTTTTACATAAAGAGAAATAGTTTCATTAAAATCATTACAGAAGTCTCTCTTAAACTTTAAAAGATGCGTATACTCATCCTTGTCAGAGACAAAGCACAGAATGTTTCTTTCCTAAAATGCAATGGTCTCCAATCTACATTCATATGTGAAAACAGGCACAAATAAAAGCTTTTTCTATCTTGAATCATAGCAAACTCTGAATGGCAATTGTAATGTGCTCGATAGACCTTGTTAGCAATTAGAGTACTAGATTAAAGATTACTTCTGCATGCCACTTTCAATATCTTGCCAGCTGAAAAATTTACACCTTGGTCAGAAAATCATCAGGGTATAGACAATCAATCCTGGAACCAGTTTAACATGATACTTGTAAATCAGCTTTCAATTCATTATTGGAATGAAAGGGCTGTCATTTATCAAAAACAAAGATCAATTTTCATACACCTTAATTTCAGTTACCATTAGCTGTAAATGTGTGTGGATGCAAACTGGATACATTCAAATACTACAATTAATCAAATTTTAACCCAATGATTCCTTTATAAAATTACTTTAAATTACGATAATGCTTTTTCATCAACATTTGATATATTGCCTTCTGACAAAAAAATCGATTGGTACAATAACATAAATTACATAATTTATTCAAAAATATGGGGGATAAGTAAAAATGAAAGAAGTGTGAAAAGCTGTGGATTAAGGAATACACTTCCCACACAGTATCTGACATAGCTGCTTTCTGTAGGAGCATATTCCTCAGTAGTCCTGCATAGTTCTTCCTAAACTTTTGCAGTTGGTCACGATTGCCCTACTTTTTTGGTAATCATCATCTGGCATGTACTAACTATATGTCATGCTAATAAATTTATAAGTGGATGGATTACTGAGGGTAGAAAATGAGGAGGTGACTTATAGAAAGAATAAATCAGCAGAGGCCAAGAACAACATGTCAGCTTTTCTGCTGTAAACTGGACCTGGCCAGGCTTCCTGACACAGTATGTGAAGAGGGGCGAGGCATGGCAGCAGCCAGCACTCCCAGGCTGGACTGCACAGAAAGGCAGTTGGTTCTTCCTCCTCTTCACCTCGATCTCTGCCACACTTCTGAGGACATAACCTCCAGTTTTGAGAGTCACTGTGTTGGCAACAGTGCAGAATCATTAACAGACAGTACCAAACACAAAGTGGTGTATTTCACCCGCTTATTCCATTAAAGAAACGAGCTGCATCTTTCATATCCTGAGCAAGTTTTACATACTAAAAACAGAGTTCTTAAAAAATTCTGATTTTCTAAAGATGGCAGAAGTGTATTATATGACCCTAAGGTCTTCACTGCAGATAGCTCTCCAAAATTGAAGAAAGGTGCAACTGCAGCACAGACAGGCAAACAGATGCTTTCACCCAACTACCATAAGGAGGAAAGACAGATACACATTCTGCAAACAGCTGTCCTGGCAAAAAAACATTACTGAACCATGTGCTCATCACTCTTCTTCTCCTAGAAGTTACCTTGCTTAAAGATATATCAAAATATGCAGATTAACTCAAACAGTCCCAGTAGTGAGCTGTTCTACACTATTTTATTCTTAATGAAGCAGGGAAGGGAACACAAACAGACGTGTTAGCAAAGCTGGCAGAACAGCCACAGGACTGCTGAATGTAGTAACATCCACTGTCACAAGCAAACAAAACAATAAATCCACAGTGCTGAAGTTTGAGAATAGAAAACAGCCCACTAGGAATGGCTGTTAAATGGTAAATGTTTTTACTAGCTTGCATTGAAGCCATACCACTACACCTTTGCTGTAGTAATGTAATCTGCATTGCCTAAATAACATTTGCATACTAGTTATAATTGTACTCTCAATTTGTTAGACAGGCCCTGTACTATCACTTCAAAGTCTGCTGTTGTGGGGAGAAAAAAAAGTTTTCAGCTCACTCACTCTTGTTTAGCTTTGAAATGCATTCAGTGTTTAGTGGCAAACAGAAAAGAAGTATTTCCCTCTGTGGAATGCCCTGTGAGTAAAATGGAAATAGAAGGTGGGATCTTCAAAGGCCCATGTGAAACTTAAGCACAAGTCCCCTTGCAGCATTAGAGGATGGATGCCTCTGAACCACATATACACTTCAAAAATACAATCTTTTCTGCATAGTTTGTATTACAAAACTGCCCAGCTAATTAGCTTCTATAATTAAGTGACTACCCAGCCTCTTACTTGATAGAGCAACCTTTGCTCTGCATGCCATCCGATCTTTTGTCCCATTTTCTGAAGACCTCCAAAAAAGAAAAGAAAAACAATATTTGAGATCTGTGCATTTAGATATCTAAAACTCAACCCTGTAAACACTAAGAAGTGTCAGGATTTTCATATTGTAGCTCATTTCAAATGCTTGTCTTTAAAGTTAATTTTGGTACCTCTGGTTTAAGATATGAGTCACTAATTTCTTAAGCATAATCTGGAAGGAAGGTACATCACCATTTTTAAAAATTCCCTGGAAGACTATTCCAAAGCGTAGGTAACCAGAGTATTAAAAGCCAAGCAGATTCATCATCCTTGTCTTTTCCAGCTGCAACATGATCAAATACATTATCAATTTTTCCCCTCTGTACGTGTCAATGAAGATGCAACTTACTTAATTGGTTCTATTATTGTTTAAAGAATTGCCTCCTCCTCTATTAATAAATGAAAATTTTTAGCTACTACCAGCATAATGACTTCCAGAGACAGTTAGAATCTCTCTAGAACTCACAGATGATAGACCCTAGAAAACACTAGAATTTTCTCTCTGCCACGATTAAGCCTTAAACAAATTCCAGTCTGAAGCAAATGTCAAAAGAAAAGATCTCCAAACGGACTATCAACTACCAAAGATACAATTTAAATGATAGAGAAATAACTCTTTAGCATGCATCTCTTCTAATGACCTCCACAGACATCTCAAATACCCCTGAAGACAGAAATGCAAGCAATGCATGGCAGTCACAAATCAAGTACACAAGACAACTGTTCAGATACATCTCCAAATATCCCTGCCCTGTTTGGGACACGTGCCATCGCCATTCTGTGCTCACTGACATTAAAGACAAGGAGTTGAGTAAATCAGCACATATACACACTTGATATTATTCCATCCTAAAAACATAAATAAAAGATGAATCGCTACAAAATTCCTTATTTTGTTAGGAAAAAGCAATACAAATGCAATTAATAGAGAATACCACACATTATATGCTAGCTTTCAAAATCAACTTTAGAATAGTGGACAGAAAACACTGCTTTTTCCTCCAACACATTTCTCCTATAGGGGAACATTTCTGAAACCAAGAAGTAGTGGAACTTCTCCTACAGATACAATTAACTGGAGCCAATCACGTACTCAAAGACTTTTTACACTAAACTGCAATATAATATTTCAATAAATTACTAACCTGAGAACAACAGTGCCTCTGCACCACGATTCTCAACATTGCACCCCAAAAAAATTCCATTTAGACCAAAACTTTGTAACATTATTCAAATAAAGCGCACATACTTTAGCTCCTTCGAGAATTAAACTGTGAGAATGTTTTGTACTTTTCTTCCCATTGAGTGTTACATGTATCACTTCGCTGTAGTTAGCAAAAGTGGCCAGCAGAGGGTACCAATTAACCACGATGGGGCCATTATTAAAGGACCCTTGATAACAATAGAAAGAATGAAAAATACAAATAGCTGTATTCTGTCTTGGATAGCTTTGTTTTGTCCCATCAGACTTGGCTAGGTACCTTTTTGTACCCTAAGGGTAATCAAGAAAATATGTCCGTTGTGTTACTCGATCTTTAATTAATGTCAAAAATAAAATCTACCCAGGAAAATATGACTTGTATTTGATTTTCTAAAGCAAAAAGAAGATAAAGGAATTATTTTATAAAGTAATGCTTTACAGCAGTAATTTATGTTTAGGAGATAAGGAAGGATTTAAATCCACGTTCCTAGACAGACTGCTAAAAATTCCTGTACGTCAAAGCCAGCTTCATGGTGCTCCCTCTGGATCTGAGCTGTTACTCACTGCCGCTCAGCGCTGCCCGGGCCGGGCTCCCCGTTCCGGCCCTGCAGCTGTGCCCTGTAGGCCCGGATGCGAGCGTTGCAAACCATCAGGCTCTTCACGGCGCGCAGGAGCTGCTCCTTCTGCGTGCTCGCTGCCAGCAGCTTGCGGATTCCTTCTCGCATGCGGACCTCAAAGCTGATCTTCTCTTGGATGTCGCGTTCCTAGATACGCAAAAAAACCAAAGGATTCAACAAAAAACTAAGAGTGTTCTCAATTTTTTACATCCTCTGCAGTTGGGATAGAGAACTCTAGGTTTTAATTATGCACAGCTATTGCAACACTTGCTGAATGCAGAATGGTAGTTCTCTCTTCAGGAACAAATGAGTAAAACATGGGACAAAACAGATTTACTATTCCCTTATACGTGCAAATTCCAAACCAAGATTAACTCACTGTACCATCTGAAAGTTACTAAAAATTTATGTGCCTCCACGTGTCATTCAGAGAATAATAACATATGGTCTGAGAGAGGGCTAGCTGAGCAAAGCTTACAAATTAACAACCCACTTCTAACAGTGATCCCTATTAAAATAAACTTTAAACTGAAGAAAATGTCTGAAATATTTTAAAGCAGAAACTCAATCTCATCACCTCTTCAGCGGTCTTTAAAAAAGTGAAGATCTGTTTTTTTTTCACTTATGGCAGTATTCAGGTAAGTGCAGAAGCAAAAAAAAAAAAAAAAAAAAAAAGGAGACTGATCCCAATACTCAACTGCATCAGGCCATGAACTGAAAAGTCAAACAGCTGTGGTGGCTTCAAGACTATACAGGCATCATGTCAGGCACACTTTTCATTCAAACAGTGAAGTAAACTAAACATGGCTGGCAAGTCATTGGAATTCACCATCACTGTGTTTTTGGGGGCTTTTAAGGTTTTATAAGAACGGCTGAGAAGTCAAATTTTTCCTGCCTGTTTCACAGAAAACATTTATAAATGTTCATTATTCCTCACTTGTGACTTCAAAGAGGTCAATCCACACCAGGCCAGGAAAAATTAAGGTGAAGGACCACAGACTGGTGTCTCCCAAAGGCCTGCTAGATGCCACTGATGGCTGATACACATTATCTCGTTTATGTGGCTCTCCCTGGCCAAACCAAATATTTCTGACACGTGAAGAACAGTGAATAACAGAATGTTGTCATGGTATTGCAGGGTTGCATTGCAAATACTTTGCAGGCCAGTGAAGAGTGTAGCTTTCTCATTACTACAAAAGAGTGCCTCTACTACCTCTGGAATTAACAAGTTCATGGTTGTTTGGTGGTAAACAGCCCCCAAAGCTCATATCAGAGATATTTCCCATTGAAGTTCTGCTGGTATTCTCTACAGCCAATATATGAAAGCCTGGGACCCCATATGGCACCATGGACTATCCCATTTTTAACCCTCACAGGTTTGTTTTTTAAAGTTTCAATCACAGTCAGAAGGATAAAGCAGGGCAACACCTCTGCGTTCTCAGCACCTGCATCTTTATTCACACTTTTTCTTAGGATTCATCCCATAAAAGGAAAAAAAAAAAAAACCAGAGTAGTAAGTAGCTTTCATCCATCTTCTTTTCTTCTGAGTCAAATTTTACATGGCTATGAAGACCCAAGGCCCACACCTGTCCCTAAGAAATAATTACTTATTCTCTGAACCTAAACTAATAAATCAGCTGCCACAAAGCTCCAAAGAATAACATCCTACTTCCCTCTAATAATTCCCAAGACTGTAGCCCTCTGCACTGCCCTGGCTCCTCTCCACATCTATCACCTGTTACAGAACTACAGTGAGGAAATAAACACTCCTATTTGGGGCATCTGCATGTATCCATACTGGCTTTCAAGAACTGCACAAAGTATTCAGTCCGCACTACATCTCAGCCAGGTTCACATAAAATATTCTGGACTAGCAGTAGATGGCTTTGGTCCATAGCTGAAATAAGCACACTACATAACTCTCATCTGAAGGAAGGATTTAGCAGCCTGATTTGGGAACGTATAAAGTTCTTTGTGCCTACCAAAAGAGATTGGTCAGTTTTCCCCCCCTCCATTCTGTCTAAAAATACAGGCACACCATCTGGACTTGGAGGAATGGCACAGCAGTGCATTGCCATATGCTGTCTACTAACACACCGTTTCCCTTGTGAGGTCCATCCTTCCCCCACCAACGGCAGCACAATCCAGACAAGACTATTAACAGCTGCTGGGATTTTCAGCCCCACACTCAGGAGCTACCAAAGCAATGCTTCTAAAAAGTGTCTTGGTATTCCCCACCTAAGTCTACTTAGTATAAGAAATTTCTAGTATTAGAAAAGTAATGCAATCACAAAACAAACAAAAATAACAGCTGAAAAAAATTATATGGATACTGCTGAAGGTAGGACAGGTAGAAATTTTACTTCATTTAATTGGTAACTTCATCACAGGTTCACAATCTTATTCCAAGGTACACTTCTGATTTACTGCCACAGTGGTTTACACCTAAACACTAAAACTCCAAACCCTAAAACTCTAAGCCCCATAAGTATAGTGTATCTTTTTAAAGTAAGCAAGTAGCCAGTAGTCAAGCTACAGCCTTGATTGAAGGGCTGAAACTCTTCTAAAACAGGGGCTATGAAGTCAAGACACCAGCTTGCGCATTTTGCAGTTAGAAATACAAAGAGCATTTGCTGCAAGCGACAGCCACAGTTTCACAGACACTCCCGAGCTCAACTTATTTGGGTTTTGAACCAACTCGAAGTGTAAAAAAACCCTCACGAATCGGAAAACCAAGAAAGATTAAAGAGGTGCAAGGATGCTGAAAGATTAAATAAGTGCAAGGGAGCAGCTCCGAGAGCCTGCAGAGTGGGAGGCCCCGGTCAGCCCAGAGCAGCAGCTCCGCCGGGGCGGCCGCCGCGTTCCCCGGCGAGCTCCCTCAGGAGCGCGGCTGCACCGCCGCCACCCGAGCTCGGAGACAGCGCAGCTCCCGCACCCCGGGCCGCCACACCGCCCCCGGGCCAGGTCTGCCCTGCCGGCCCGGCACTCACCGGCCCCGCGGCGCCCGGCCCGCCGGGCTGCTGCCGCCTCATCATCCTCATCCTCCTCGGCGGCGCCGCCGTTCAAACCTCCCGCCCCGACAACGGCCGCGGCCGCCCCGCCCCCGGCCCAGCAGCGCCCCGCGGCGCGGCGGCCGCCGGCTCGGCACTGAGAGCTTCGGGCCCGCCGAGTGCTGCTGACGGCAGCGCTAACCCCGTCTTGTACGGCCACAACAGCGAGTGCCAGTAATAAAGGCCAGGACAGAACTTGTCTTGGCTTCTTTCTTCCCTGTTAAGTTACTTTTCTGACACAGGCCGCTGCGGCCTCTTTCTGATGAGTGCTCTTACTGGGAGCGGCAACCAGTGCTGCTCCAAAGCGTGCCTTGAATTTTTAACCGTGTTCTTGGGTTCCTGCAGTTAATCTAATGATGCATCTTGAATACGATGGTACTTCAATAGCTGCACTAGTAGCGCATATTGTTAAAAGTATACTGTTATATACTGAGTAAAAGTGCATTAATTATTCACTAGATTGACTGGAGAGGAATGGGAGTCATCTCTCCCTCTTCTGCTGCCAGTTTTGCAGCTCTGTTTGTCTTTGGCAGATGAAACAAATGAGCCAAATAGTGTCTCCCATCCATTCCTCATCCCTGATTTCTTGGCTTTCCTCTCTGAATTCCTCTTTGACAGGTGATGGTCAGAAGCACAGATCCTCATTGCTTTGCACAGGGTTGTCAACATTTGTGGGAAGCAAAACGTGTTGGAACGAGTGAGATATACAGTGTTGCTAACAGCTTTCTACAGAAGACAGAAGTCTCCAGGCTAACATATGCTTATTTAAAATATAAGAAAATGCAGTTAGAAGGGAAAAATTTTAAAGCATCATTGCTTCATCAGGATTTCACAAAGGTGCTCAGCAGTTCAGCTGGACCCCTGACATTTACAACTGGGGCACAAACACAGCAGGCTAGCCCTGAAGGAAAATCATGAACTTCTGGACCAAAAGTACGTATTCCTTGGTGCAAGGCAGAGGACAGGGAGCTCTGCTTCCCTCCAGAGTGCTCATCCCACCTGGAGGCACAGATGGCAGAGGCAGCAGGTCTGGAGTTCCCGTCTCCATCTTGGTCCATGTTTCTTAGGGCATTCAGATATTCGCTAAATACCTTCATGCCATCCTGAAATCCTCTGCATACCACTGACAGGGCACATGCCACAACTGGGAAGATCTACCCTTGTTGAACACAGGAAAAACCTTAGAAAATAAGGGCCTTGTTACCCTTGAAAACCATGGCTCAGGCCTGTGACATCAGCTGAGCAGAAAAGGACTATGGGAAAGTGACTCAGCTGAATTAGAGGTAGAAAAACAAATTATATAACCATTACATGTTCATATTGTGGTTTATGGCGGTTGGTTGAACCACATTTGTTGTGCTTAATTGGAATGTAACTGATAAAGGACTAACTGCTTTAAAAGGCCTGGTTTTTGCAATAAAAGGACTAACTGCTTTAAAAGGCCTGGTTTTTGCAATAAAGGGCTCCCTCTTGCACCTGCCTGGTGAGTCTGCGTCATTCTGCTTCATAATACTACCCCAGGTTATCTATTTATGGATGCCATATTTTTTCCTGTTGTTTGCATACTCCCTCCTGTTCTTTAGGTACTGTGACTTGCTCAAAAAGACTTGGTCCAGTCTGTTCAGTGGAGAAATCCCATCAGGGAGCCAAAAGGCTTCTGTTTAATCAAGGTACTATACTTAGAGCTGCATATGGACAGCCAATAAATCTAAGAGTGAGCTTGAGCAAGGTTTAAAGGGAAGTCTCCACCTAATCCCAGTGCTTCATGCACCCAGGATAAGCCTTGGGCTCCTGTCTCTGCTGCAGAGATCAGGATTTTGGATACAGCAAAAGCAATCCACCAAATGAGGGGAGAACATGAGATGACAGATCAGAGTGCCCTTTTGCTTTACAGTGTGGCTTATCTCTTAAAGTGGGGTCTAGCCTCTCCTGAATCACTTGGGGATGGGAATTGAGCCTCAAAAATCTACAGGTCATTTTCTAGGCTACAGAAGTAAACTAGAAACACATTACAGATTGGAATTGAACCAAATAGTAAAAGTCTCAGGTTGACTGTACCATATTATCATTGAATCAGTGCTTGACCCAAGGTGAGTGAGGCTACAGCCTTGACTGAATGGCTGAAACTCTTCAATGAGTTTGATGTAAACTGTGGGAGCAGCTGGAAATTATAACCTTATTGCAGAGATAAACAAATAAGGAATTAATTACTGTGACTCTGGCTTGCTAACATTCCTTCACCAACTCACCAAAGAGTGCCCTACCACAGAAAATTGACACAACCTGTGAAAAACACACTGAAACACTTCCTATCCAGCATCATCCCAAGCAGTTCAGGTTAGACTCTAGAACAAACCCACTAGTTCAACCTTGGAGAAGCACTGCCTCCAGACCCCTGAGAACAGCTCTCAGGTACAACAGGGTTTGTCAACAGCCAGGATAACTACATGGATACAATAAAATTCACTGCAAAAGTTATGCCCCAAATTATTTCAGGCAATCAGCATCTCTAAAACAATTTTGCTGGTGGTGTAGACAGCTCCCAGGAATCTGTGGCAGTTGTCCAAGAATTTTAGATGCTAATTAGCATGGTTTTGCAGTACAGTCTGTTCAGCAAATCTGAGTCTTAATAAAGTCCCAAAAATGTGACTGCTAGTAGCATAAAGAGCCTGTGCCTGCAGCCCTTACATGCTCCTACAGACAGTGACTTGAATTGGAGCTCCTAAGAAATCAGTGGCAGTTAAATGTGTATGACTCAGCCCTAAGCAACATGAATAGGATCTTCTCAAGCTCACTGCATACCTGCTCTTCAGCTGGTTCCAATGTCCAATTTTCCAGTACATTAGGAACATGTTTCTGCAAAGTCTGGCTTCTCACATTCTCGCACCTGCTTCAGTCCTCCGTTGCATTCATTTTCTAGAGACGCAAGGTTTTATTATTATAAAATGAGGCTTCATAATTCAGTAGATCTGTCAGATGCTTAATTAAAAAATGAAACATTTCACCAAACTTCTAGTATTAGCTTCTAAAGGAATGTGAGACTGAGACTTTAAAAGGCATTTCTACAGGTTTAGAGCGAGGCGAGATGTTCTTTCCACACTTCATGTCTAGCTCCAACAAAGCTCTTCTGCTGTTACAGCACACAAACTAACTTGAAATGAAGAAAGCTTATGCCATCTAGATTATCTAGAGATTTGAGATTTAACTAGTAACTAACTATTCTGCTTGCTCCCTAACTGAAGGGTAAATGCAGAAGACAGCAACAAAAAAGGGAAGCATTGTAACCATGTTTTTTCTCCAGACAAACCTCCACTGAATGGCAGAAAAACCCAAAGGCACAACCTACAACAAGGAAAATCCTGCACAGTCACTGCTGCTAGTGCAGAGAAGTCAGAAGGGGGTAGGGTGAATTAAACAGGGGATCTATATCCTGCCTTCTGGGGTTTCTTAAGTGAAACATTTTTCTCAGATGAATCACACCATCCTTTTATTTGGCATTTGATTTGCATTGCAAAGCATTTGGCTTCCTTCTAGTATTAGGGAAACTGGATAGCAGAGAAAAGATCATTGTCTATCTAAATCACTGTTCTGCTCAAGTGTTAGATCAGCATATTATTTTAAATGTTAGGCCCATCATTTTGGTTTAGCAGGTACAAAATGTCTACACCTACTCTTGACAGCACTGCAGTATTTTTCTTAATTTCTTAGTTCCCACAGCTTGCTACACCTACTCCTTGAATATCATCAGTGTGCCAGTAGAAATGCACTCAATTCCTCTTCAAATTTATCCTAAATGAAAAGCTATGAAGATTTGTACTGGACACGTGGGAAAGAATTTGCAAAGGCTTTTTATAACTGACTACTAATTTAATTTTACACTGAAGAGCAAACTGTTCCCATTGATTGCCACTGGCTTTGATTGCCATGGTATGTGACCAGTATAGACTGGTGAAATGGGCAGAGACTGGAATTTAAGGCGTTTACCTGACCACTTACTGGAGCCTCAGTAACTCATTTCTTCATTTCAGCCTGCTGAGGTCAGTTGAAAGTCTTTCCATCTCTTAGCTGAGCAGAAAGGCAACATGTAGTCCTACAAACAAATTAAATATGGGTAACTACCTTATTGTAATGCATTTTGGGTTCAGTTTTGATTGGATAAGGTGAAAATTAACCATCTGACAGCGAGCTAAAGCTTAACCCTGTAATGATGAAAGTTATGGCAAGAGAAAACTTCACAGGCTTCATCTTAGCTAATTGAGCAGTGTGAAATAGGTTCCTTCTCTAAGGCAGCCATGGAGCCAGTTGTTGAAGATGTCACCCTATAATATGCAGGTGCCTAAGTCAGCTAGGATGTATCACCCTTTTCTTCCTGGGATAATTAGACAGAGACCAGAACAGCTTAGAATAAACTCTTACTATTTCAGATGTTCTCAGATTAATTTTACCCTGACAGCTTGTCCATCTTCTGCTCAAGTTTTTTTTTTTTAATATTCTGCAGTTCTCCTTCTACTGCTATAGTGCTCCCAATGGCACCAGGATCACATCTCTGTATGATGCCATCAACTAAACATTGATACCAAGGTGCTTCAATGAACTATTTTGTTGATCACTGCCAGTTCCTGTAGAATTTCTAAAAGAAACTGTAGAAGATTCAGAACATACAAGGAATTATTTTTCCTGTTTCCAGATAAGAGACCAGAAACTGACTCCTCCCAGTATTCCTGACATCAATCCTGTATTGAAATGCCTTCAGATTAAATTAATGTAGCCTTTTTGAATCACCATATGAGATAAATGCACTCAAAATACATTTTATAACAGAAAAAGTAAGTTACATAAAATCCATCCCCACATGAATTTGGAAAACAGTTGCTGAGATCAAACATGAAAACCCTCACAATCAAACTAAACATTGATTTTAAACTAGTTTGATCACCCTCTGTGTCCTAAAGTTGCCCATACCCAGGACAGTGGATGAGTGACTAGGGTATAACCGAGGTATACCAGTCACATGTATTCTTCTGTTTCTGCTTGGGAGACCAGGGACATTGGTTTTGAAGCCAACTCACACGTG